AAAAAGTACTCCTCATAGAATAAACCAAATTATTTTCTATTCTCATGAAACCTTTCATGACATATGGACACACATACACGTACAAAGAGCCCAAATGCAGAAAGCTCCAAACACTCATGCAGTTTCCTAAGGAAAAATCATTTTCTTTTATTCACCAGGGAATAAAATGACGCATTCATTTGTAATGACTCTTCATTGGCTGAATGTATTAGGGGCCAGGGAGCCTGAAACAAGACAAAACCAAAGAGAATTTAAATGAAACTATTGTTTAACAATAAAAAAAATTGATACTCTATTAAGTCTGGAAAAGATGCAAATTGAAAACCTATGTAGAAATACTAGACATTTGTTCTAAACAGATTCCATGAAGTCTTGCTCATCAAAATAGCCTCACAGCGATGACTGAATAAGAGCCCCATCCTCTGAGGGCCCTGAAAGGGGCTTCCTAGCTCCAGTCGGGGCAGTTACTGCATTTCAGTCCTTCTCATTCCTTGTATTGATCTACTTTTTCATCTAGTACATTTCCTTTTTGCCTAATAAATATCCATTAATTGGTCTGATTGTGCAAACTTGCTGAGAATAAGTTGTCTTGGACCATTTTGTCATACAAGAAGATCTTTATTTTTACTTTATTGTTGAAAGATATTTTTACTTGTAAAAGCATTCTAAATTGGCTTTTTGTTTTCCTCCAATAATTTAAATATATCACCTCAACACCTTCTGGAATGCATAGTTGGGGAAATGAGATTGGTCATCTTTCTAATTCTTGTTCCATTGTATATAATGTGCATTTTTCCTCATTAGCTGCTTTAAAATCTTTCTATTACTATCTTTCAGCAATTTGACTATGATGTACCATGTTATTACTTTCTTTGTATTTTACTCCTTGGGGTCTTTGAATATCTTGGATCCGAGCATTTGTAATTTGTAATGCTTCAGTGAGTCGCTCTTTCTTTCTTTCTCTCTCCCTCCCTCCCTCACTCCTGTTCTTTCTTTCTTTTCCACCAGCAGCCTCCTCTAGTAACTTCTGGAAACTTGGTGATATGCACATGGACCAGTCAGTTTTCTCCCAGCTGTCCCTGGTGCTGTGGTCACTTGTGTATCCCGTTGCCATGTCATCCAGCTGACCTCTCATTTCTTCAGGGTCTAATCTGATGTTAGTTGTTCTTGGTGTATTAGCCTTTCAGGTAGAAGCTGTATTTGGGCCTGTTTATGGCTTTCATTTCTGGCCTCATTATGTTCATTTCACATCTTGCTTTAGCTTCATGAACATATGGAGAATGTTTGTAATAATTCTTTTATTCTCCTTTGATAATGATAGCGTCTGTCATTTTTTTTGGTCTGTTTCTATCGAATGAATTTTATCCTCTTTATGGGATGTATTTGCCTATTTCTTTGTGTGCATAGCCATTTTTTGGCTAGATGCCAGACATAATTTATAATCCTGTTAGGTATAGGATTTAAAATTTAATTTCTATAGTATGTTGGATATTTTCCTAGCTCAAATTCAAGTTACTTGGACTCATTTTGATCAACTTCAGACTTTTAAAATCTTTGTTAGAGTAAATATGTACTCAGCCTAGGGATGATTTAGACTCACAATTAATATAATATGCTAGTCATAATTCAGACTTATAACTAATGTGGTATCCTTCTAATGTTTTATGTAGTAACACAGTGTCTTCCTAAGTTCCTGTGTATTTCTTGCATGTTACAAAGACTTTTCAGTGTGGTTGGTAGGAATACACATTTTCCCTAGTCTTATGTATACTTTCCACCCGAATTTGACCTACGGCGTTTGTGTTCAGCCCTGGAGGTAAGCAGGATCAATCAAAGGCATTTGCTTCACTTATTTCCTTACCATCAGGGATCAAAGTAGTACTGTGTTTGTTATCCAATGTCAGAAAACCATTCCCACATATATAAAATGAGGTATGATAAAAATAGGGTGTCTATTTAAACAAAAAATTTAAAATTATTATAGTAAAAGACACATTGCCATTAACCCCCTTAAAATACTTCCCCTGGCTTCAAAAACATTTATTCCATTATTTTTGCTACTTTATGAAGCAGTTCTGGAAGTCCCCTTCCCTATGAGTTTCTTTACTTGTGCTGTCATGGCTTTTAATGTCGTAGATCAAATGAAAACATTTACCTTTCATTGTCATTTTAACTTTGGGGAAGAGCCAGAAGCTGAGAGGGTACCAGATTCAGTGAATAAATTGAATTAACAGGCACCATGGTGTTTTTCTAAAGTTTTGTTTTTTGTTTTTCTGTGTGGTGTGGTACTGGAGATTGAATTCAGAACCTGGCATTTGACAGGCAGACATGGAGCCACTAAGCTACATCCCTGGCCCATCCATGATGTTTTTACTTGTTTGTTTGTTTTTGTTTTTTGAGACAGGGTCTCACTATGTAGTTGAGACTGACCTGGAACTCACTATGTAGCCCAGGCTGGTCTCGAATTCACAGCGATCCTCCTGCCTCCACCTCCTGAGTGCTGGAATTAAAGGTGTGCGCCACCATGGCCAGCTGCCGTAAGTGTTTTGAATGGAGTTTGAGGTAGCCAAGAAAAGGCTTAGCTCATCTCTCTTGGTCATGCAAGAGGGCCTCCAGAACTGCTTCATGAGAAAGTGGCCAGAATGGTGTATGTTCAAAGTTAAAAGAGAGTGTTTTCATAAGAATTAATGGTAAAGTGTGTTTTTCTGTAACAAATTTAAATTTAAATATTCACTATAGTTTTATCACACTTCATATTTTGTTTACTTATTTCTAGTTATTGATATGTAGGAGTGATCTAGCTCCTATTATTTCATCATAGCTAATGAGCAATGTTTTTAATACTGAAAATAAAGGCCTGTTCCTCCCTTTTAGTAAAGAAATCTTGTATCATTGGCATTCATAAAAATGAAGATAAGCTTGTAAGCAACTAGTAATATTGACTTGTTTATAACTTTTATATGTGGAGTAGCCTAGGGAATGAGGTCAATAACTAATTGCAATTTGTGTAATCTCACATTCTTATATAACCGCCAGTTGCAACTTATGCATGTGGTTGGAGGATTTTCAGCAGGTCTGAACCAGTATTCTTATGTCTCAGGCAGATACTAGTGTTAGTATCTGTGCAGTCTGCTTCCTTCATTTTTGACTCAAGGGTGACACTCAGGTACTTTACTCTCTCCTTAGGATCTTGGTTTTAATAACAACTGAACTATATTGCTAAACACAGATATGAGAGAATAAAGGTGAGAAATTTGAAAAATAATTTCCCCTGTCTTTTTCCTCTACATTTTTTGTATGGACATTAGTGAAGGTAAATCAGAGCTAAGGTTACTAATTTGGTCCTATAGTGAGTAGTTGCTTGTAAGAATACAAATTTTTGACAATTTTCTTATTTTTTGTCCTGTTACTTTTTATTTCTTTCAGTTTTTCCTGCTGCTATACTTCCTTCTTTCCTCTAAAACACATACATTGTCTTCTTTTTTGTTTGTTTGTTTGTTTTGTTTGTTTTTTGAGACAGGGTCTCACTATGCAGTTGAGACTGACCTGGAACTCACTATGTAGCCCAGGCTGATCTCGAACTCACAACGATCCCCCTGCCTCAGCCTCCCAAGTGCTGGGATTCCAGGCGTGCGCTACCCCGCCTGGCCATACATTTCCTTCTAAAGTTCTTTAAATTACTACACTCCTTATCAGCTTCACATTTGCATATTTTGGTTCCATGCTATTTCCTCTGCCTAGAATATTTTCATATCTTTCTTTCATTGTTCTCATATATTCTTTAAGGCTCAGGTTGGACACCATCAAACAGTCAAATGTGTCTGACATATAAATATTTGTAATGAATAAGTGAAAAAAAGAAAAAAAATCTTCCCTAAATTATCTAATTTTATGCCTTCATCTCACAACTCAAGAATCAGAATTATAAACTAATACAGATTCTCCAGTCCAACTCTTTGATCCTTTGGGCTCAAATCCTGGTTCTACCCACCAAAGAGTTGTGTGCTAAATTAGCCAATACTCTTGGCTAAATTCTGTTCTTTGTGGCTCACTATTTTCAACTCTGCCATTGTAATTATAGTACCACTCTCTCACAGGGTTATTTTGGGGATTTGGTGAGATACAACATAACATACCTAAACTAGCACCAAGTGTTCCAAAAGTAGCATCTATTATTATTAAAAGCAACTATTTTTTATTAGATTCACTGATTTTTCAACTTTACATTGCAATCGACCCCTTGAGTCTTTCCTAAAATTTATTAACCTTTCATGTTATTACAAGACTGTCCAAATGTGACACAATTTGAAAATTATGCTCTTTATTATAGTCACACAAAATAAAGTCAATTACACCAAGTTGTTGAAATACATTGGTGAATTAAAGCTTCTAACACTTACAAATTTTTATACATATAACTATGCATTTATAAATACATACATATGTAAAAGATATATTTTCTTCTAAAATAAAGTGCCCAAATCTTGATATATGGGGGCATAATGAGAAAAGACTCATAGTTTTTTCAGTTATAGACTGTATTTTCACAGTACACGAACCAATTTTATACACATTTATTCAGGCATAGTGAGCTTTACACATTCTATTTTTTTTTTTTTTTTTTTTTTTTTTTTT